TTTTGACTCAATAAATGCAGACAAGGATAAAATAAAAAAAGTCATTCGACTCAAAACAAGAGACACATCAAAATTACCACCAGTTATCATTGAGTTAGACAATGCGTCAGACAAAATAAGTGTATTAAAAGCTGCATACATTAACAGAAACAAGGTAAATGAAATCTATTTTAACTCAGATATGACAGAATCCGAAAGAGATCTCATTAAACAGCTACGTAGTGAAGTTAAATTGTTAAATGCTAGCCTAAATCAAAAAGATGAATACTACTGCACTATAAGAAATTTTAAAGTTGTGAAACTCATAAAAAAACCAAAGCAATAGCAATCCTCAATTAATTTGTATCAACCTGCAGTAATGGCTGTCCCTTCTACACATAATCCTGTATCTAATTATGTTAAATCAGAAGTATTATTATGCAAATCAATACCCAAATACCATCTATGTTGTAGATATACAAATGCGACTTCACTTAACAATAAGTTCGATTTGTTTTTGTTAGAAATAGCACTGTATAATCCTGACATATTTATTGTAACTGAAACTTGGTTTAACTCATCAAGTGCCATAAATGTAAGCAGGTATAATGTTTTTTACAACAATCGATCTAAATCTAATTCAACTAAATCTCATGGCGGAGGTGTAGCTATTTATGTTAAAAATAAATACATTGCTTATACTCCATATGACCTAGCATCTGAAGAAATGACAGTTGAACAAGTCTGGTGTGTCATTAAAACAGAAAATGAGAATATCTTAATTGGTAGCATATATCGTCCACCAGATGCTACAGAATTGACAAATCAAAAAATAAATAAAATAAATATAGCTAAAAAAAGTGTTGATTGCAACAAATATTCAGGTCTACTCTTAGCCGGAGACCTAAATTACCCAAATATAAAATGGAATGAGAATGATGAGAATATCCAAACAGTGTTAAAAAATGATAGACAAGCACAAATTTTTTTAGACAATTTAAATGATAACTTTTTGACTCAAAATGTCACAAAACCAACCTTTAAATCAGGGACACTGTCAGAAGGCAATACCTTAGATTTGATTTTAACCGATGCACCAGAGCGTATTTCGATCATAGGCTATAATCCTCCGTTAAGCAATTTAAATAATGCACATCAGATATTGTATTGGAATTACATCTTAAAAAAACCAACAACATCAAAATCTTCCTAAGGGAAATCAAAGTTTAACTACAAAGCCGGAAATTATCAAGAAATGAACAATTCATTCCATAGTATAAGGATGGTCACATATTTTTTCTAATAAAAACGTTGATGAATGCTACAAAATTTTTGTAAATAAATATCAAGAATTATCTGACTGTTATATACCTAAAAAAGTGCATAAACACATAGCTTTAAAACCATATATTGACAAACAAATTAAGACTGAAATCAGACATAAAACAACCTTATGGAACAAATTAATATCAAATAAATCCAAATCACCCATTTTGGTTCAGCAATACAAAATACAAAGTAAATTAGTTAAAAACATGGTGAGGTTAAAACATATTGAATATGAAAAAAAAATCAGTGAAACATCAAAAATAAATCCCAAGTTATTTTATAGTTATGTAAATTCTAACAAAAAAATTAAAGGAGGAATAGCTTCAATGTCTAATGAATATAATAACATTGTAACAAATAGAGAATCTATAGCAAATATTTTAAACAATAGTTTCAATTCAGTTTGTGTTAACGAAGATAAACATAACATACCAAATATACCGCAGAAGACTGAAATTATTCTAGAAGAAGATATAAATAATGAAATAACTTGCCATACTATTGAAAAAAAAATTAAAAAATTAGATGTTTACAAAGCTATCGGAGTAGATGGGATATGCCCATATGTTTTAAATAAATGTCATAGTACTCTCTGTGAACCATTACATTTAATATATAAAATCGTTGACTGAGAAAAAATTACCTGAACTCTGGAAATTAGCAAATATAACACTAATTTTTAAAAAAGGTAATACGAACATTGTATCTAATTACAGGCCAATCTCATTGACTTCTATCCCATGTAAAGTTTTGGAATCACTCATTAGAGATGAAATTAGGGATTATCTAATAACAGCTTATTAAATGAAAATCAGCATGGGTTCAGAAAAAATAAAAGCTGCACAACAAACCTATTGGAAACTCTTGATATCATAACAGATGCACTAGAAAATGGCCACTCAGTTGATATGTTGTATCTAGACTTTGAAAAGGCTTTCGATAAAGTACCACACTCGCGTTTGATCACTAAACTTCAATCATATGGTATTGTGAGAAATTATCTGGGATGGATAGAGTGGTCCATGGCGACACAGTCTCAGATTGGCTACCAGTTATTAGTGGTGTACCACAGGGGTCAGTTTTAGGACCACTGCTGTTTTTGATTTTTATTAATGATTTGCCAGATCAAGTCAAAAACCCTATTAAACTTTACGCTGATGATAGTAAAATAATAAATATTATAAAAAATCCTAATGATTCAATAAGCCTTCAAAATGATATAAATAACATAATGGCATGGTCATCTATTTGGCTCACAAAATTTAATTATGAAAAATGCAAAGTTATGCATATTGGGAAAAAAAATCCAATTGCTACATTTATAATGACTGATATTGATTGCAATTACAATTATACATTGTGTAACACAAAAGCTGAACGTGATTTGGCTATAATGGTTCAAATTGATTTAAAATGGCACTCACAAGTTGATTCAGCAACCAGCAAAGCAAACAGAATGTTAGGTACCATAAAGAGAAGCTTTAAATATTTAGATGTAAACATGGTAAAAATGCTCTATACAACGTTCATACGTCGACATCTTGAGTTTGCGGTCCAGGCATGGTCTCCATTTTTAAAACAAGACATAGACAAGATTGAGAAAATCCAAAAAAGAGCAACCAAACTAGCACCTACAATTAGGAAATTATCATATGGGGCTAGGTTGAATATTATGCAATTAATGTCACTGGAAGAACGTAGACTACGTGGAGATCTGATTCAACAATATAAAATTCAGCATGGCCACGATAAAATAAATTGGGTTGCTAACAATTGTGGAAATGCATTGGAGGAGGGTCCATGTCTGCGACAACACAAATTCAAAATGAGGAAGCCTTTTAGCAGAAATACCTTCAGGTATCATTTTTTCCAAAATCGAGTTGTAAATGCGTGGAACAGATTACCATCTGAAATAATAGAAGCTATTTCAATAAATAACTTCAAAAACAAACTAGACAGAGCTGGATTTTGCAGAAACTATTTGTTAAAACACAAACAAAAGACAAAATGAGCTGTTACAGTGCAATATCTTATGTTATTGCACTTCGCAACTGTTTAAAACAGTTGTTACAGTTATACCTTATTATATATATATATATATATATATATATATATATATATATATATATATATATATATATATATATATATATATATATATATATATATATATATATATATAATGAATATGTTTACATCATATAAACATTATAGTATAATGTATAAATCATGTATATATAAATAATTATACATCAAATTAAATGAAACAACACGGTAACAAGGTGTCAACATAAGTAATAATCTTAATAATTATTTATACAACCCATGATGGAAAAATCATAAAATGGAATGAAACAACACAGGAACAACAAAATATTTATAATTTATTTATTAATTTACCTATTTCTACAGCAAAGGTATTACAAATCTTTGCATATATATATATATATATATATATATATATATATATATATATATATATATATATATATATATATATATATATATATATATATATATATATATATATATATATATATATATATATATATATATATATATATATACATATACATATACATATATACATATATATATATATATATATATATATATATATATATATATATATATATATATATATATATATATATATATATATATATATATATATATATATATATATATATGTATATATATATATATATATATGTATGTATATATATATATATATATATATATATATATATATATATATATATATATATATATATATATATATATATATATAACACAGACACGCAAAATATCAATACTATTCTATAAAACACAAAGTGAAAAGTCTTGGTGCAATTTTTGTTAAATTTCCCTTATTATACTTGTAACTTAGTTACTCTTTTATTTAAATATTGAATCGATAATAGTTTATAGATCATAGAGTTTAGAATATAGAAAATTAAAAAATATCTTTGAACGATAAATAACTAAACAAATTAATAGTCTTAAAATAATCAACCAAAACAAGTAGACATTTAATTAACCGAGTTAGCGCATAATATTGTATGCGCCAAGTTGATAGTATTAAGGTAATTAGGACGTCTTATGTTGGTCTTAGCGACGTCCATAGGACGCCTAAACATTGAAGTCCTGATATCGTCACAAGGACGTCCTAACAAAGACGTCTTTATCAGACGTCTTTAGGATGTCCTAATTTGGTCTGAGACGTCGCGACCTAGTTAAGACGTTCGTAAGACGTTTGATTCACGTCTGTGCCCGCTGGGTAGTGTTGCTGTACATTATCAAGTTATATTATGGATATTAAATCTATTCATAGTCTATACTTAGACTATTTAGAACTTTTTCAGTTTAGCTTAGTTAAAATAGCTAGGTATGATTAAAGAAAGAGATAAAACTTGTTTTATTCAAAAATACATATTCAAATATTACATATATTTACATGTAATTGAATAAAATCTACACAAATTTCTTCTCTTTTCCACCACCTTTTTGAAATAAAGCGTAATTTAGAAAGTCAAACAATGTTCCATTAACCGAGGGTTCTTTTGGTCCATTGAATACAATAGAAGAAGCTGTAAATAAAAAAAATATATAAAAAAAAAACAAAAAGGGAAGATTTAAAAAATAAATAATGAATGGAAAAGTGTTACAACTTATGAAGGTATATCTTTTTGAACGCCATATAGATTAGTGTTCTTAAAACATATTTTTCCACCTTTGCCTTTCATATCCATGGAGGACATATAACTTTTCGAAAATACTCTGAGTTTTTAAAAAATAATATAACTGTTAGTTGGTTATTAATAACTTTTTCAAATATTTAATTTAAATAAAACAACCTTTTTAATATATTAAAAATAAATTAATAATCAAAATATAAAACATTTCTAGCATTGAAAAATAATTTTCGGGGAAGCCACATAAAATTTTTATAAGAAATTTTATGTGGCCATTTATTAATGGTTTAACGTCCATGTTTATACACTTATGGGGCTTGGACAGGGATCAAATAATGTCATTTGTTATGTTAAATAGCATGCATTTTTTAAAGCAATTTTTTACAATTCCATGCACTTTAAGGCGTTAACCAGTTTTGCAGACCGAGAATGGGTATTTTGAACATTATACATCCATCAAAAATTAAAAAAGAAAGAATTAATGAGGAGCTTTGATCAAATTTTTACCTCTTTAGAAGATAACAGAGGATTTTAGAAGTGGTTTTAAAAAAAGAGGACTTTAGAGGATTTTAGAGGAGCTGCAGACACCCTGATTATAAATGAGGTAATTCCACCAATTAACTGTAATTGATTTATCTGTAAAAAAACATGAAGTAAATCTAATATTATGCTTGTGGAGATATATTATATTGTGGAGAACCATCCAAACCACACAAGTGGAAAATTTGCATCCAAGTTTCCACTTGTGTGCAAATCTTGCATCCACTTGTCAACAATTGAAATAGTTCTACAAATAGTTATATATTTTGTATCAACAAAATAACTCTTCTTACCACATTATTTAAAAAATAATAATTGTAATATATAGATGTAATACCTGTAGAGAATTTAGTTTTTATTTGTATAAACCTCGTTCATTAATAAATTCTGATAATAAAAGTCAAACTACTGTAATGGTTTTAGTTGGCACTGCCTAAAATCGTAGTTTTACTAAACAATCACAAAGAAGAGTTTATGGAAGACAGAGGGTTTACAATACAAGATTTTTCAAGTTCACTGGAAGTTAACTTACCTTTCCACCATTTTTTTAAGTTGCAAATAGTTCACTAAAACGGAGATGATTCAAAGTCAGCAAATCGCAAGTGAACTCATTTATATCATTAGAATGATTTAAAGATATATATGTTTTCATATATTTGATTGTGTTATTTTGCTAAAAATGAATAAAATTTTTTAATAATTTTTATGGGCTAATAATAAAAAACACAAAAATTTATAGAAAAAAATATGTATCAAGACATAAAAAAAAACATGCTGATTGAATTTATCATTTTTATGCAATCATAAAAAATTACACAGATTCTTCTTCAATATAATTTAATGTAAATCTATATTGATTGTATTTTAGCATAACTTTGTAAATCTATATATTGTAAAACAGATTGAGCACTCTCGAGTCCTTAATACAAGGGAAGGGGTGGAGGGCAGTAATGGGTGGGTTTTATAAAAGGAAGGGGGTAAAAATTTTGTTGTGTTACAGTATTTTTTATAAAAAGTTTAGTTTATACTTCTGAACAAATAATTTTTACAAAACACGTTTAAAACTATTTAATTCCAGCGTGGTCAAATGCACATTTTCGATCAGCTGTTTCATAATTTCAATAGGATTTAATATGCTAATATAAATTTTATACTTTAGAGAGAAACGTGTCGCATAACCTGAAAACTCAACCTAATAAAACCTGCACCTACAATCTTGATCTACAAAATAAAACATCTACTAAAAAGTGGAAATAATTTTATGATGTCCTACTGAGACTTAAATTATTTTCAACCTGTTTTAGTCCTTTTTTAATTCGACCGATTTATGACGTTTTCATTTTCGATCAATTTTTTTCTCAACCGATTTTAGAGACTTTAATTTTAAACTGATTTAAAATACTTCGATTTTCCGATTATAGTTAATTTTCTGTGTTTTTACCAAACCCCCCCCCCTCCCCTCCACTATGTATTAAGGACTTGAGAGTAATATATAAAAAAGAGATCAGATAAGCGACATTGGCACTGAAAAGGTATAAACATTTTTGTTAAATACCCTTCCGTGGTGCTCTACGACAAGACGGTTTGGTCTCCTTGAAAAATAAAATACCGCCATTTACATCAAACCTTTGAAAATGATTTTTTTAAATTTTTTTTCTAATTGTTAATGTGCTCCAACAAGACCATACGGTTTTGTCGTTGAGATGCGCGGAAGAGCATTTAAAGAAAAAGTTCACGCCGCCTTACATACCTAGACCAAGCATCAAACCTTGGCAGTTATTAACCAGCGCTTCAATTACTGCGCCGCGGCTGATAAAATTCAGTTTTTATTTAAATCAAAAACAAATTAATAAAATACATACAGGAAAAGACGTAGATATAAAGTCGATCGAAAAATCAATAGGTCAAAAATACAATAGGTTGAAAATACAGCAGGTTGAAATTTCAGTAGGTTGAGAATTCAGTAGGTTAAAAATGCAGTAGGCTTAAAAATTAGTAATTCATGTTTTAATTAGTAGTAAGTATGAAAAATCAAAAGCTGCAGGTTGAAAATCAAAATTGTCATGTTATGTATTGTTCTTTCGCGTTCTATTTCCTTCGTATTTTTTTTTTTATTTTTTTTTAATTTAATATACAACGGAAAAATACATCTTTTAAGTCAAGTTTATTGTATTTTTCAATGCACCTAATTTCTATTATTCCATAATCATTCTCACACTAAAGCTTAAGGCTTCATAATATTTAGCATAGGAGAGTTTATATAAAATAAAAATGATAAAGGATTTTTTTATTTTGTCACCATAGGCAATATTGTATTCCAAATTTGTAAATCTATTATGAGATTGATTCCATTATGAAAATGTTGTAAAACTTTAGTTTGACAGTCTCGTAATGTACAACAGTACTACACCTTTTAGAGAATCACCAAGGTAACAACATTTTAAAATGATAACAAGTATACGATTGTATTTTTATTATATCAACTTTGACAGTCGGATTGTTTATATCATCTTTTTTTAAATCAATTAACTCTGGATCTTAATATGTATATATAAAGTGAACTGCACAACGCAGATTTACTTAAGTTTGTAGATAAAAGTAAACTTCACTGAAGTTTATTTTGACGTCTTCAATTTAGTTAAATTTTTAAACATATTCAAAACATTTTACTTTTAATTCTAAGTTTTTATAAAATAAATATATTTCTGTATAACAATTATACCGTTTGCATTTAAAGCTGTTAATAAAAAGGTATATCTATTTTTTTTCTCTAATTTTTTTTTTTAATTTAATAATATTTTTCGTGTTACTAATAAGCATATAATTGTTATTAATTTTTAAAACTTCATTTTTTTATTGAATAATTAAATAAAACTAAGTATTATCTATCAAATGACCTATTGCAAGATTATTTTGTGCGTAAGCTATATCAAATAAATTGATTTCTAATGATGGCGTTCTTACTTTTTTTAGTGAAAATTTCACTTGTATAATGAAATACTTTTGCGATCCAAGGTGCTCCAGAAACTTGAAACTTGAAATAATATGTACATTGTTGATATATATTTTACCCATTGTCAATGGATGTCAGCTGCATCTCTATACATGATTTTTACAAGTTTTATCTTTTCTTAGTAAAACATCTTTTTTATCTCATTAAAATAAACATATAAATATTTGGAGCTTGTTTCATTTCTGGTTGTTCAAAGGTCCTATGAATAATATATATATTTTTTTATTTGTATGCTGAAAATAAAATATTTTGATATCTATGCATTCATCATGCATTAGCCTAATATTTTACATTTATATAGCCTAATATTCTACATATATATCTGAATCTAGTAATTTGGACAAACTTATTGATGCTATAAATTTGGATTGCAACAAGCAGTAATTAGGAACTATAATAACGCATCTACGAGATAAGTGGCGCAAGTCATATAGCATCATGGCTCGATATTTTGCAGCAAGGTCTGATACCGGTCTGATACTCGATTACAATTTGCTTCAGAAATTAAACGGAGAAAAAAAATCTAATTGAAAAAATCTCAAAAAAAGATTGTAGAATGTCTAAAGATAAAGTTTTTTGTCTTCTTTTAGATGCTAGGTTGACAAAAGCTTCCTACCAAAATATTCAAAATCAAGCAGTTGAAAAGGGAGTTGATATATATACTCCATATAATAATGTTCGGGATGCAAAGCTGTCATGCTATCATGCAGATATATCTGTCTCATATTTTTCAGCTGAAATAAAACTGCAAGCTATGGTGGATCATACAGCAAATGGAATATAGAAGGTACAGTATGATGTCCTTAGCACTAAAGGCACTCCAGATAGACTTTTCTCTGAAATACAAAATTGATGGTGCCACACGACAGTCCATATATAAACAAATATCGAAAGAAACAAAAAAAAAAAATTTAAACAATGAACAGGCAAAAGTCTGGCAAAAATCAAGAAATTTAAACAAAGAACAGTACCCAGCTTGGCAAAATCCATGACCATCATTAACAATATACTGTTGACCTCTGCGCTTTAAATTTAAAAAAGAAACGGCAGGAGTTTCAGAAGAGAATCTCATTAGGCTTGAGATTTCAAACTTGCAAGATACTGAAGTTGATCTAAATAATAAAAAAATTTAAATACATCATCTCATGCAAATTACTATGATTGATGGACAAGTTCACTCAGCTCTTTCAGATGTTACAAACTCTATTCAATGCTGTAATATATGGGGCAAGTACCAAAGTTATGGCATTGAAAATATGGTTTTAAAAAAAGGTATCACAGGCAGTTATTCATTCGGCTTATCATCCTTACATGCTTGGATACTTTTTTTTGAATGTTTATTACACATTAGATATAAAATGACTTTGAAAAAGTGGCAGGCAAGAACAGTAGAAAATAAATCTAAAGTTAACATTCTGATACAATAAATTCAAAATAGAGTTAAAGGTGAAATGGACTTGATAGTTGATATTCCGAAATCTGGTGGTAGTGGAACATCAAAAAATGGAAATACGGTTCGAAGAGCATTTCAAAATGCGGAAAAGTTCGCGGAAATTTTTAATATTGATGTTGAACAGATACTAAATTAGCATACTGAATTTGCAAAAATTTCATGTGGTTTAGAAATTGATACTGAAAAATTTGAGGCGTTCTAGCTCGACTTTATGTTAATCATTATCCTTTATGTTCATCATTATCCACTATATGCTACAATCTCTCCACAAAATTTTAATCCATGGTTCTGAAATTATTAAAACCCTAGCATTACCCATAGATATGTATTCTGAAGAAGCTCAAGAACATCGCAATAAAGACTTTCAAAACTATTGTGAACATTTTGCAAGAAAATCATCTTGTGTGAAAACGAACCAACATTTGTTAAATCGACTACTGTGTACATCTTATCCATTTATTGCATCTCTGAGAAAGACAGAAGGAAGTCACACTATAACAAAAAACTTACCAGCTGGAGTTATTAACTTATTGAGGTCATCCGCAGATAATATTAGTTTATAAGTGTGTCTTTATAATTTTGGAAATGTGTGCACCTATATGAAAGTGTGACTGTAAAATAAATAGTTATGCTTAATTATATTAGAACCATCCAATTAATTTGCATACCAAGTTTAGAACTATTTGGCTAAAATTAAGCTTTTGGAATTAGGCATAAATATTTGTTGCTATGCATCTGGGGTTACCATGGCAATCACAAAAAAAACGTTTATTCAAATTATTATAATCCAATTACTTTATATACCAAATTTTGAGGCCTATGGATGAAAGGAAAAAAAGTTATGACATTTTTCCAAAAATATGGGATTCTAGCCTACTGTGGCTGTGTTCAATAAAAATATGGGATTGTTGTGTTCAATAAAA